TGTGACTATAAGTGTGTAGAACCGCACGCTCGTGGTGGTGGTGATAGAGGTGGTGGAGGTGGTGGTGGTGATAGAGGTGGTGGAGGTGGTGGTGGTGATAGAGGTGGTGATAGAGGTGGTGATAGAGGTGGTAAAGAAGATTAAAGAAAGGAGGGGTAAAATACTTAAATAGTAGGAAACTAGGTATTACTACGTAATACTAGTAGATTAATAGAAGTAGAAATAAAAGTAGTTTACTTTTGTGGAATACATGGTATAATAAACCCTATTTAGGTTTACTTCTTCTACCTAAACCACTTCTTAGTCTACTTTAGATAAATATGGCTACTGTAAACCGGTTTTGTACCGTAGTGTTGGCAGATGGAAGGGTTTTCTTCGGGTGGAAGGTTTATAATCCGTGGCCAGAAGTCTGTGTAGCCTTTAGAGGAGCAAGCAGATGGTAAGCAAGAATAGATTGTTAGACCTGACTTCATTCTAATGAAAACACCGTTACTTTTGGGGTAGTCGCTAGTACACGCATTTTTCCTGTCTGTGAAATTTATTCATGTGTAGGGACTACTGTGAGAGGTCTTTTAGTTGAGCACTCACGTCCAAGGAAAATCCACCTCAACCCACCACCCCAATCACCGCCTACCCCGAATTCTCACCCAACAACATCCCTCTCCCTCTCCCTCCTCCTCTCCCTCGCGACCGGCAACCCCAACTCCACTCCCCCATCCCCCTCAACCGCCCACCTTGCCAGCCCCCCCGCCACCCTCTCAACAACCCCATCCAACATCCCCAACCCCTCATCCACCCAACTCAAGCTCCGCTCCAGCACACCCTTATCGCCCACCCCATCCCCAGACGCCGCAGACCTGGTACTACTATACGACGGCGTGCGTGTGAGCAGCGGCGCGGTGCCCGACTCCAGGGCTTCGAGTGCGTTCAGGGGTAAAGTGTGTGTTGAACTCGACGGCGAAGTTGAGAATACACCTGAAGATGTGGCGGGGGCGTAGGGTGTACCGCAAGAGACATGTGAGGTGGATGACGAATAACAGGAGAAGAAAGCGGCGCGTTCAGCGAGCCATTCCCGGCTTGTGCGTGGGACGAGGGGTTCGGGGTTGTATGTGTGCGTTGCAAGGGAACCAGATACGGGCGGTTTGAGGAAGGGGTTTGGAGGACTGGATATTGTTGATGTGGAGCGAGGGGGGGATCGGGGAGCCATGGTGTTGGAGCGGCGGGTCATGAGGGACGGTTGGGAATACGATGATGATGGCGGTGCCTTTGACGAGGGTGGGTTGCGCTGCTGCTTGTCGTTTGTAGGAATACGCCTGGAACTGCGATTCTTCTCGGAGGAGGAGGACGACACCGAAGGAGAAGAAGCAGCCAGACCTCCATCATCCCAACGAGACCGCCGTCTCATCTCCAAACCCCCCTCACACCCATCCCCCCTCCTCCCCACCACACCCACCCTCCCATACCGACTTGGCTTATCAGCCGGCCTATCCTCCCTCTTCCTACCCCACCCTCTCCATCGCCAAATTCCCCACCCGCCTGGCGGAAAATTCACAAGCAGCACCAACACAGCCCAACACGAAGCCAGCGCCACGGTCGCTAGGCTGATGAGCAGGAGCACCTTGAAGCCCGGGGGCAGGTAAGCGATGTTGTAATCCGTGGTGTGTTGAAGTGTGACCATGGCGGACATGGCGGGCATAGTGTGCGTGTGTGATGCAGCAGTATGTGAGAGAATAGAAGTTTGGAGCGGAGAATTAGTATAATACCGATCATGACAGTGAACGTGATCAAGCTTCTCAAGCGACGAGGAAGAGGAAACCAAACAAGCATGACCAGGCACAACACCATGAATAAACGGTGCGTCAAACTTCCTCCGTGCAAAAAACAAACAGTCATGGGCTTGCGCAACCGCAGTGCCTCCATTGCCTATTTTGGCATGAGCCGTGGTGTCCTTCGCACACCGTTTGCCCATTGTTAGCGTCGAAGATGTGTCTGCCACTATAACAAGCATAGACGGTGGTGATGGCGCTGCAGGCGCCATCTGACCCTGTTGTTGCTGCAAAGCGCAGAATCAAAAGGCGTTGCCTATGCGAGGACAAGGGCAATCGTGTATGTTGAGTGAAGACGTAGAGGACGTGGGGTTGGATATAAAGGAGGGAGGGAAGGGAGTTAGAAAGTGCGATGGGGCTGTAGGCGAGGTGTATGTATGTATGTATGCATGTATGAATGAATGAATGGATTGAATCTCTTGCAGCTGGCGTAGGTATGCGTGAAGACGAGGAAAAAAGTCAGGGTTGATGTGCAAGATCTCCTTCACATTGAGAGGGTGCGTGTACATATGCTATTCACCAACGGGGCGCCAACAATCGACAAACGAATTGTGGTACGGATCTAGAAGAGAGCAGGAGCAAACGGGCTATGAAGAACGCAAGGATATGAATTGGACAAAGTAATGAAAGCATTACTCTTGATGGCGTGATATTAAACAATTCTCTAAGTCGGCCGAACGTACTATTACTTATAACCCACGACATTTAATCCATACAGCTTCAAGCTGCAGGCCGCGTAGGAAAAACGCCGCCCAATGAGATTGCGCAGTCTACAATGCAGCGCAGACATAATTATACATAACTGTTCTCGCAATCATATCTAGAAAAACATGTGTGATAATAACACATCGAATCAGCGACGGTTGAAGTTCAAATACTTCGCCGCCAAGAACAGAATTGCCAAATTACTTGCAATAAAAGCGGCAAAGATACCCAAGTCGCGCCATCGGTTTACAAAGTCATAACCCAGCGGTGTGTAGAATTCGTCGCCGACTTTGAAGGCGCAGTAGCTGCATGCATCGGTCGCGTTGTCGAGGAGATATCCCGGCGCACCACTCGCAAAAAAGTCGCTCATGTAGGAACCGCAGTCTTGACCCTGAGGGGCCCGGAACTGGTTGAATTCACCAGCGGTGCAGCGCACGGGCACGTTGTGAAGTTCCGTAACGACCATGCCACCGATGAGACGGGTGAAGGGGTTGAGTTCGTACAGCCAAACGCGCCAGAACTTGGGAATCTGGGGCTTGGGGATGGTGACGCCGCAGAAGAGGGCGAATATGATGATGATAAAGGGATTGACGTAGGAGGCGATGAATGGGGAGGGGGTCAGGGCGGCGATGGCTTGACCGAGTGTGACGGAGAAGATTTCGGTGATGAGGACAATGAGGAATTGGTAGCCGGCGCGCGAGGAGTCGGGATTGAGGCCGGGAATGTAGTACAGCGGGAGGAAAAAGCAAACGGCGCAAATCACACTGTAAGGCATCTCGGCAAGGACCATGGAGAGGGCAAAGGGGAAAGTCTTGTATGCCTTGGACCTGCAAATGGGATTAGGATGAATCATAAAGAGTAGGCGCGAAAGAAGCAAGATACGTACATTTGCTCCCTGAAACTAATCATTCGCTGAACAGCGTACTTGGGCTCAACTTGTGCCAGAATCAGTGCGGGAAGAACGGTGACCTGGAAGATGATGAAGACACGGTATTGCAGAGATGAGCGGGAGTCGTCAAGTTGCAGGTACATGAGACCAGTGAGTAGGGCGATGATGACGTGGTTGAAGAGGCGAGTAAAGCCATAGTTGGGGGTTCTCCAAAAGGACAGGTTCTGTCGCTTGACCACCTGTTTGATCTGATACGACATGGGAGTGGCGTATTCTTTCTGGTCGACTGCTTCCGCGTTGCCCACTTCAGCAGCGCGTTGCGTCTTCATCTCGGTGATGTGCCGTTTAACCTCCGCAAACTCTTCCGAGTCCCTCCAGACGTCACTCCAATCGCGGTCGCCCAGACGGGGAGCGGACCCAGCGCCTATGGCATCCAACATCCACTCAGCCGGGTTAGCGTCTGGTGGACAATCCGCCCCATGGCGGCGGAAGTAGTCGAGCAGAACATGGGCGTCTTTCCCGATATCGCCAAAGTAGACACACTGACCGCCGCGTTGCAAGAGCAGGAGACGATCAAAGTTTTCAAAGAGGGCCGAGTTGGGCTGATGGATCGTGCAGAGGATAGCTTGACCTGCGGCGGACAGTTTGCGGAGGAAACGGACAATGTTAAATGCGCTCTGCGAATCAAGACCAGAAGTAGGCTCGTCCAAGAAAAGCAAAAGTTCAGGCTTTGCCGCAAGCTCCACACCAATGGTGACACGCTTGCGCTGCTCAACAGCGAGACCACTCTCTGGGTCACCAATGATAGCATCGGCGATGTCTTCCATTTCAAGCAGTGCAATCACCTCTTCGACGTAAGCATATTTCTCGGCCTGAGGGGTCTCGTATGGCTGTCTGAGGTCGGCGGAGAAGCGAAGTGCCTCTCGAACGGTCGTAGCGGGTTCGTGGACATCGAGCTGCTCAGCGTACGCAGTTCCTCGCTGAAAGGCAATACCAGGCACCTTTCCATCAACGAGCCTGTCACCGCCAATCACACCAATGTTTTTGCGATTCGCCAGAACATCGAGCAGGGTAGTCTTTCCGGCGCCCGAGGCCCCCATGAGAGCAGTAAGCTGACCTGGTTTCACGTATCCGTAAATGTTGTTCAAGAGACGAAGCTCGCCAGAAGGGACTGGCACGTCATACGTTAAGTCTTCCCAGGTAAGAACAGCCTTGGACTCGATGTTCAAATCAGAACTGTCCTCGACACCTTCCTCCTTGCGATTCCGTCGTTCACGCTTCTCACGTAGCTTAGCATTGAGTTCTTTGAGCTCCTTGTCCTCCTTGACGAAGAAGGTAACCGTACGTCCACCCGCACCCCACTTGACAAACTCTCCAAGGAACGCATTGGCAAGTAGAAAGGCAACAATCAAGGCAATCATGATGCCGAAATGCATCCACAGGTCCTGAGGGTCCCACGAGAACGAGGTCTTGATGTAGTCGTTTCCAGACACAATGGTCGATCCAGCCTTACTGCCCGGAAGGGTGCAGACCTGAGAATTGATGTCGTTATAGCCAGGGCCGGAAGGAATGACCGAGGCACCTTCGCAGGTGAGATCCACACGCTTGAACTCATTCATCATCAGAGCCGAGAATCCGAGACCCAGAGCGTTGATGTAGAAGATCCATCGTAGCCACACTTGTTCATTTTGCCACTGGATGAGATAACCGGATGTCAGGACGAAAAGTGTGATGATGGTGGCCGCCAATCGAATCGCAACATCGAAATCAGGACAAAGACATCCAACGGTTCGGAAGAAAAGAGTCATGGCCAGATATCCCGTCGTGATGACGAGGAAGAAGGTAAAGAAGGCGCCAGCGTCTCGCACGAGGTTGGTCATGAAGTAGACGATGATGGAAAATACCAGAATCTGAGCGGCAGCAAACAGAAGATCGACACCTATTTGGGCGATCCAGAGAGCGGACGGACGATGGAATGTGAAAGCGCGATGTTTGTTGATGATCGGTCGACCCAACATGGTAGATGCCAATTCGGAGAAAGCCTGGAAAGCGTTGAACAAGAGTGCGATGAACAGTACACCTCCACGAGTAAAGGCTCCGGCAGAAGTATCGGGAAGATCGAGCCAAACGGTACCGGTGATGATGGCGATGGATAGAGACGTAATCCAGGAAACGACTAGGGCAAACTTGTCCTGCCACTTGAGCAGAAATTGACGCTTCGCCAGAGCCCAAACCTGGAGGTAGAATGGAATAGCGTAGACAGACTTCTGGGGTGCGTGGCGCTTGCTTTCCTTGACGGCTTGCTGGAAGTCGTCATAGACGTGCTTCTCTTGGTCCATCTGAGCGTGGTAAGCTGCCATTTCTTCAGCCAGTCTGGCAGCATTGGGCGACTTGTTGAAGGCCTCTGCGAGCGCTTCAGGGGTAGATGGAACTTCTTTCTCGGTCATGCCAGGCTTGAACTCGCGTTCGAACGGATCAGTACATCCAGTGAGGTAATCAGGGGTGGTCTGACGGGGTTTCTCACGGAAACCTAGACCCTCAAAGTACTGGCGCGCCTCGTCTGCCGGACCATAGTAGACTTGGCGTCCGCTGTCGATGACTAGGACCTTGTCAAAGACCTTGTAGATTTTTTCAGAGGCCTGGTAAAGCGACACAAAAGTCGTCGTCTTGTAGATGTTGGTAAGGACTCTGAGGGAACGGGCGTAGTCGACGGCGGTGGAGGCATCCAACCCACGCGTCGAGTTATCCCAAGACATCAAGGAGGCCCCGGTAATCATAGTCTCTGCAATCGAGACTCGCTTTCGCTCTCCACCACTAACACCTCGCACAAAGGGGTTACCAACGATTGTGTTTCTTGTGTGCTCGATGTTGAACATCTTAAGCATGAGATCGATGACCTTGGCCTTGAATTCCTGTCTCGAGAGGCCGGCCGGCCGCTTACCAGGGACCTTGGTCTCGAGTGCAAAATCAAGCGTTTGGCCGACGGTAAGAGTGGGGTGGTGATTCTCATCTTCCTCGCAGTAGACGGCCTCTCCTCTATACCTCTTCTCGAAGAAGTCGGACTCGAATGGGCCGTAGAGCACCTTTCCATCGACCTTTGTGTATCCATATCTCTGGTTGGAGATGACTTTTAGGAAAGTCGTACAGCCACTTCCGGGGCGTCCAAGAACAAGGACCATTTCGCCAGGCTTTGCGACTCCATGGAAATCCTTCAAGATGTCGAATTCCTTGCCCTTTTTGCCCATTCCCAGCAGATTCGCAGCCGTCTCGAAGACGTTGAAGAACGAGACAAAGGCATCGGGGAAGGTCTTGACGTAGTTCTTCACGCCGCCAATACCGCTCACAGAAAGGCCGTCCCATACGACACCGATGCGCTTGGATTTGATGCCTGCAGCTTCCTCCTCTTCTCGGTCTCCACGCAGCACTGCCTCGAGATCAAAGGGCTCATCAGACTCAGTCGAGCTACCAGCGCTACCCTTTTCGACGTCGGCAATGGCTCGGCCCTTTTGACTCTTCCGGCTCTGGACGCGGCTCATGCGACGCGACATATTACTGGTGCGTGACAGTTCTTTGGAGAGCTCGGCAAATTCAGCCTCGGCTCTTTGCACATTGACACCCCCGACCCCGCCATGGCTGTGGTCGTCCTGGCTGTATTTTTCCGAATTTCGCACCGTGCTATCGTCGTCGTGGTGAACAGAGGCCGTCCTGAGACTTGCATTTTGTTCATGCGCCGGGCTGTGAATCGGCTCGAAGGTGGTTCCTGGCGTGTACTGATGCGCTTGGCTCAGGGGCACGTCCGTGTGTGGCACTTTTTGGTCGTCCATTGTTAGTGCAGCAATGCCCTAACGTGTCTGTCGTCGTTGCCAGCTACCAACCCAAGTGCAGAAAGAAACGGGTGAGCTTCCTGCAGGTTGGTGCTGGTGCAGAAAAGAAGCGAATATAAAGGAATCTTCGGCCGCGGTCGTGTTGACAAAAGTAGCAGAGCCAAGACTGTAGACTTGAAAAGCTGAAGACAAGCACCACAACGTAAAAAACAGGCACCAAAGGCTCTAGAAGGGCGGCGCGTGTGAGAGGGCGTTACAACGGCCAAATAAACTGGAGACAATAAGAGGAATACCGATCAGGGATGACGGGACAAAAAAAAGAGGGTTCGGAGATAAGGTTTGGTGGGCCCTCGAGTTTCGGTTACCAAAATCGGGTCTGCCAAGGCCGGCTGACCGCTCCCTCGCCTGCTCGAAACCTGCAAGAGCGAGAACAATCACAAAAAGTCTCTGCTGCAATCTCCAGCCTGCCTTGTTGACGGACGAAAGCACCGGACCAACTGTGCGCTTAATGTGCCAACATCCAACTTGAGGGAGTTTTTTTTTTCAAACACAAAGGTCGCGAAATTGACTCATGATGCGCGAGATCATGTCTTGTTCGACTAGATGCGTATTGTGTATTACGATACGATGACTCGCGGGCGCGCCTCGGCATTTGCCTGACTGACTATACAGTATCTACCGTATCTCCTGTAAAGACTGGTACTTCGCTGCTGCATATGCCATTTCCTGTGCTCATCGTGTGTGTACTCTTTGTCTTTTCATGCAGGTAGCCCAGCCCAGCCCAGCTCAGCTCAGCTCAGCTCAGCAATACCTACGCCCGAATAACTCTGCCCACTTCCAGAGAGACAGGATGGCGGGCGGCAGCAACCACATGGCAGGCTCATTCCTTCGACAGCAACTCGTATTCGGTACTCTAGAACCAGACGACGAATACTACAATGGATTACCCCTTCTTCCCTCCAACCCTTGCCTTCTCGAAGTCTCCATGCCGTCGGAATCAACGCAGACAGCGCGCCCCAGCCAACAAGCCACCACATGACTCATCCCGACTCTGATGCCATCATACCCAGCACTCCACCCAGGGGTACCTTGATTGACACTTCACGGTCCATGCCAATACCATCACTCTCTTGTCTGGGCAATGAAAACAGACTCGATGCTTTGGCCATACTGTGTAACTCCTGTCGTGCAAGAACAGTCTCATCTCCCTCAACGTTGTTCGTGTGATACAATACCCTCCTGCTTCTGACTCGTTCGAAGCAAAACGAGCGCGCCATGCAGTGTCGCGACAAACTTCGCTTCGCTTCTACCGATACACCCCCACCCTGCTTACCTCATCCCCAGAATCCTCTCGCCTTCGGGACGCGCGCCTGAAACCTGTGCAACCAACCGTGCAACATGCATGCATGTCCTTCCAACTCCCCTCCCCTTGGCGTCCCCTCCCAACTTCGCCATCAGGCAACCATTTCCTACAGTAGCTAGGACTGTGTGTACGAGGGGTGCGTCTCAACCGCCCATAAGCTAATCGTACTATCTTTACACTACGGTAAAAAATTGTTTACTGTAGAATGGTACGCTAGGGGTTTACCATATAGGTGTAAACTAACCTCGTGTATACCTGTAAATAGGTTTAAAGTGGTGGTTTACTTTTATAGTAGGGGTTTAAATTAAGTATAAAAAGTAGTTTTATTTCTATCATACGCTATAATGCCTAGCTAAGACTAAAAGGGGTAGAGAAGATTAGCTTTACGCTATACGCACATATAACATAATAATGAGTCATGATATTTCTACTAATAGGAGGCGGTGATAATAGAGGTGGTAGAGGTAATGGTAGAGGTAGTGAAGAAGACTGAAGAAAGGAGGGGTAAAAATACTTGAATAGTTAGTAGGAAGCTAGGTATTACTACGTAATACTAGTAAATTAATAAAAGCAGAAATAAAAGTAGTTTACTAAGGTAGAGTACCTTCTACTTCTTCTACTTCTTCTACTTTGTGGTCTACTTCAGATAAATATGGCTACAGTAAACCGGTTTTGTACCGTAGTGAGTATGATGAGATCAAAGTTAAACGCACAGGCAGCCGCCGCTGCGAATCTGAGCTCCAACCAACTAAGATGATCCGCACCCTTTCGGCTCTTTCCGTGAACGAGCCCCACACACACCATAGCGCGCCAATATGGATGAGTTAAAATAGTGATGCCATAGTGTCACTCTCAACATCGTGTCTAGCATACCTAGCTTTTACTCTAGAGAATATTAGCAAGTAGATATTAGATGATTAGATATTAAACAATTTTGATATATCACATGCCTTGCAAATGTAACAAATATCAAGGGATAGAAACTTCAAACGGGCTATTAACTTCAATACTAAGAATATATAGGATATAATCTGTCGATTGTAAGACAGCACAAGGAATAATAGAGATTCTTTAGGTAGAGGGGACAATACGTGTCGAGTGTATTTGAAAACGAATCGATACTGGAGGTATCGATCCTTCCAGGTATTTTTATGCGTCCAGCATCACGTAATTCACTAGTCCCGTCACTTGGGGCTTGGGGCCTGATATCAATCATATTTCAGATACTAATATATAATTTAATCTAATACATGCTTAGTAATTTAGTATATGTATAGCTGTACTACAACTACCCTAAGCTATATACACAAGTATCATGAGTTTCCTAATAGTAACGTACTCCCCTCTATTACCCTAACTTGAAGTTACAAGAGCATCACCACGCCACTTCTGCCATGGTGTACAATTTATATCTACCTAGGCCATCCGCTCAATCTGATCCCTTTTCGTCCTTACCTTGGTGTGACTGTTATGTCCCAGTAGATACAGTATACCAGTGGCTTTTGTTGACAGCATCAAATTGTGCGTGTCATATGAATGCAAGACACGTAGTGACACCTTATAGGACGGTACTGTGACACGATGCGGGGTTTTCGCGAACAACAGTGTGGCCACCATTTGCAGAAGTCAAACAATTGACAACATATCCAAACATTCCCTCTTCAACAAATCGCGGTTTGCAATTATGGCTAAGACCAAATACGAGATTACTGCTGATCCAGATACAATAATCATTTTGCAAAATCCAGATGCCGCCTTCGCATCTTGGAGCCTCACGGGGGGTGGTCGGGATCATATGGCATTGGCTCACGAATCTGCTGTCGACAATTCTGCTGTCGACAATCCTGCTGTCGAATATTCTGCTGTCGACAATCCTGTTGTCGAATATTCTGCTGTCGACGAGATTACTCCTGGAGGTGCCGAACAAGAGACTGATCTTATTATCGCGAATGAAGCAAACAAATCGAACTCGACCGAGGGAGATGAAGTTTGGTACTATGTCTCTCGACGTCACTTGACAGCAGTATCACCTAAATTTGAGCGCGTGCTCGTTGACGCCAACTGGAAAGAAGGGACTCGCGACGAGAACGATGGTCTCTTTCATGTGTCTGCCACAGATTGGGACAGCGAAGCGCTGCGTTACTTTCTGCAGGTCCTGCATCTCCGCAATAGTCAAGTACCACGCGAAGTATCCTTGGAGATGCTTGCCAAGATAGCTGTTCTGATCGACTTCTACGATTGCGCAGAAGCGCTGGAGCCGTTTACTGAGAGATGGGTAGAGCATGCACGGGTGGTCTCCCCTGTTCCTTCTGACTTCTGCCGAGATCTCATCCTTTGGATGTGTATAGCTTGGGTGTTAAAGCTTCCAAACGAGTTCTTGCAGACCACAAGGGTAGCAATCAAAGAAAACGATCGAGAATTCCCAACACTTGGCCTCCCGATCACCGCTTGCGTTGGTGAGTGAGACAAATATTCGTGGTGATTTTTGGGCTGACTTTGGAAGACAGGATCGAAGAGTCACGGACGCAGGCTATTGACACTATCTTCTCTCAGTTGCAGAGCCTCCTCGAGGAACTCGGCAGTCCGCAATACCAATGCCCAAGCGGGTATCCATTTGAGTGTGGGTCAATGCTGTATGGTGCTTTGACTAAAGAGATGGACTTGCAACAATTGTTACCAGCACCAGTCGCACCATACTCCGGATTAAGTATGGTGGAGGTGTATAAGAGGATTCAACGCATTAGATCTCCCGTATGGTTCTTCTCAGGGCATAGACAGAAACAAATTCAGCATTCTTGCGATCTACGCGTAAAAGTAATGGCAATTGCTGACTCAGCCACTCGTCTTGCAATTGGGCCTGGACTGGAGGATTTCAAGTCTCATTGATCTACCACATGTAATTACTATATCTATCGCATGGACATTAGCACCACCTTCGCTTCGATCACTTTTGCTGCCTTCTGCTGACGTGCCAGAGTGCTCGTGTTTGTATTAACGTCTACCCCAGACTTCTTACGCTTGAGCCCGTGTGTTTTCTTCTCTGCTTTAGCCTTCTCCTTCGCAGCAAGCTCCGCTCGAACATTCTCAAGGTACTCAAAGCTTAGTATGAAAGGCATTTGAACATTACTTTCATATTGGATAGTTGCCGGTGCAGATGCTGCTTGCCAAGTAGACTTAACCCTCGGCATCCATCGCGATAATCCGACATAACAATGCAAGGCCGTTAGCAGTCACTGGCGTCGTAGGTGCGACTGGTATAGGCTAAGTTTCTTTCTCCTGCCCAGCTGTGTTCACTACGGTAAAAAATTGTTTACTGTAGAATGGTACGCTAGGGGTTTACTATATAGGTGTAAACTGACCTCGTGTATACCTATAAATAGGTCTAAAGTGGTAGTTTACTTTTATTATAGGTGGTTTAAATTAAGTATAAAAAGTGGTTTTATATCTATTATACGCTATAATACCTAACTAAGACTAAAAGGGGTAGAGAAGATTAGCTTTATGCTATACGTACATATAACATAATAATAAGTCATGATATTTTTACTAATAGGAGGTGGTGATAATAGAGGTGGTGGTAGAGGTGGTGATAGAGGTGGTGGTAGAGGTGGTGGAGGTAGTGGAGGTAGTGGAGGTAGTGGAGGTAGTGGAGGTAGTGGAGGTAGTGGAGGTAGTGGAGGTAGTGGAGGTGGTAGAGGTGGTGGTAGAGGTGGTGGTAGAGGTGGTGGTAGAGGTGGTGGTAGAGGTGGTGGTAGAGGTGGTGGTAGAGGTTGTAACAACCCTATCGTGAAGACACCTTGTGGTGTTCTAGTTAATCAGGTGCATCCCTAGCTAGGTTTAGTGTCTTGGCGCCCAAGCTGTGCAAAACCTGCGCTTCGCGCGGGGCTTAGGAAAGACAAGTATTATTCTTGTGTTAATACTATACTAATAGCTATCTCTACACTATTCTATCTAGTGTAAAGCAAATACTATTACCTATAACTAGAATATTATATAATAATACTTCCTATTTAATAGTCTAGAGATAGCTCTATCTATACGCGTAAATAGCTAAGGGGTACTACTAGTAAAAATACAACCACCCCTTATTAAGCTATAACTAAGGGAAGAACTAGCAAGTAGTTCCCCCCTAAGCAATAAGTAGCAAACCCCTACGCTAGACGTAGACTTAACGCTTAATAAGCGCATCTAAGCTACCTAAAGGAGATATAATAAACTCTAGAAACTACAACGCCTATATAAACTAGAAGCTAAGATCCTCAGTACCTTAAAAGCCTAGAAAGGGATACTACCCTAGACTTAATAAGGAGTATAATAGAGGATATCCCTAAGACACTTAAAAATACGTATAAGCAGGGCGTATCTAGGGCGCTAACGCCCCTACCTTTAAAGCGTATACTAAAACTAAAGGATCTATTAGAATATAAGGGAAAAAACCTTAAGGAATATTATAAATTCTTTTACTCTTATAAGGGAGCCTTTCTACTATTACTATAGACTTTCTACTATAATAAGGATAAGGTTCTTTAGGCTATATAGTACTTAGCAGGAGACCCCTAAGAACTATAGTACACGCACTTTAAGCGCATATTTAGAGCAACTACTATAATAGTAACCTAGTTATATTTTAAGGTGTATATACTTAACTTACTTTCTAACCCTATTAATTATATACTTAAAGTAGCTATAACACATACTTAGGCAATATAGTATAGGGACTAAATAGTTTGCTCCTTTATAATATACCTTAAAGTTCTAAAGGATTAACTTACTCCCTATACTAAATAATAGAGAGTCTAGCATCTTTTCTTAAAGCTAAGGCTAGAGATATAGTAAGTAATTACTAACTACTACTAAGTACTAGTAATAAGAGAGGATTTAATAGCGTTAGGCTCTATATTTAAGTAAAACCTGCGCTAACCCTCCCTAACGTGTAATTATAACACACGTCCTAAAGGAAACACTAGATATAAGGACTAGAAGCTAGGGGAGAAGCTACCTCCTTCTATAAATAAGCTACCTTAAGATAAGAATAGTATTACCTATTTTAAATATTAAAAGAAAGGCTACTATACTAATAAGTATAAAAGTAGTAACCTAAATTAGATCCCTATACGTATTAATAAGATAGGAAAAGCTTAAGCCTTATTAATAACCTAGGGATAGTAAGGCGTATTCTAATATATATCTTACTAGGTATAAAGCGTATATATAGCGTAGCTAGGGAGATAACCCTAAAGAGATAACTATAGGTTATTTTAGACCCTTAGGTAGATATTAGCTTAATTAGTTAAAAGACTACTATTAAAATAAGCCTACTACCTATTAAAGGAGTAGAGCTTCCTTAGTTAGGCTAGATTAGGAGATAGTAATAGAGCACTTACATAGTATATACGCTCTAAGTATACTTAGCTAATAATATAGGTATTAAGCGCTATATATAGATAACTATATATAGTGTTAATAAAGAGGGCTCTCTACTACTACTTAGTAATCTATTCCTTTAGTAAGGATATATTTACCTTAACTATAGCTCTTAAGCCTAGAGATAGGGATATAAAGTAGCTAGTATTTAGCTTATTACTACTAAAGAGATAGAAGAAGATATATAATAATTAGGTCTTAACCTACTACTTCTTAGTATTATATAGACTACTAGTATAGACTTAGAATATAATACCTATATCTACTAAGTATATATAGTATAAGAGTTGCGTATACTAGATACTTTAAAGGACTACTCTAATATCTTTAGTAAGGAGGTAGCTACTACCCCTCTAAATTTTAAGTCCTTAGACTATACTATTCCTCTTCTAGAAGGCAAGGAGCCTCTATATAGTCTACTTTATAACCTCTCCTTATATAAACTAAAGCTACTTAGAGAGTACTTAGAATAAGCGCTATATAATAGCTAGATTTGCTATAGCACTAGCCCTATAGGGGCCCCTATCCTATTTATTCCTAAGAAAGATAGAACACTTTACCTTTGCGTAGATTACTATAGTTTAAACGCAATTACTATTAAAGATTATTACCTGCTCCTACTAATTAAAGAGACCCTAGACTACCTATTAGGCGCACGCTACTATACAACCCTAGACCTCTAGAACGCCTACTATAGAATATAGATTAAGGTAGGAGATAAATAGAAAATAGCTTTCTATACACGCTATAGTTATTTTAAATATCTAGTAATACTATTTAGGCTAACTAATACCCCTACTAGCTTCTAGGCCTATATTAATAGAGCCTTAATTAAACACCTAGATTATATATATATTGTGTACCTAGATAATATCCTTATCTATACTAGTAGTAACAAAGTTACGCTCTACTAGCGTGCTATACGCGCTGTGCTTTAATTACTATGTAACATAGAGTTATTTATTAACCTACTAAAGTATACCTTTATATCTAATAAGGTCTACTTTCTAGGCTTTATTATTAGCACGCGAGGTATGTGCGCTAATCCTACTTAGGTAGAGAGTATTACTTAATAGCTATAGCTAACAAATATTAAGGAACTATAATCTTTTCTAGGTTTTACTAACTTCTACTAACACTTTATTATAGGCTATGCTATATAGACTGCCCCCCTTACTAATTTACTTAAAAAGGATAATAGCTTTACTTAGACACCTGCTATAGACAAGTCTTTTAAGATACTTAAAGGATGCTTTTTAAGCGTGCCTATCTTACGCTACTTTAATACTAAGCGCCCTATTTAAGTAGAAATAGATACTTCTACCTTTACTATTATAGGTATCCTTTTATAACTTTTTAAAGATAATAAATAGCACCTAGTTACCTTTATCTTAAGGAAATTATAAGCTACTAAGCTAAATTATAAAGTCTATAACCTAGAGCTACTAGCTATTATTTATAGCTTTAAGTAGTAGTAGCACTACCTAGAAGGCACCTAGTATACTATATAAGTGCTAAGTAACTATAATAACCTGCGTAGGATACACGCTATATAGAAGCTAAACCTATAATAAGCTTATTAGGTAATATATCTAGGAGCTTTTAACTTTAAGGTAGAGTATAGATTAAGGAAAACTAACCCTATAGATAGCCTCTTAAGAAGGGTAGATTATATATAGGAGAACCTATTACTAACCTAATTATTACCTACCTTATAGAGTAAACTACTTATAAGGGATAGACTTAGTAGAGCAAGTAGATCTATAGATAAGTAGAGCTTATTAGGCGCGTATAAGACGCACGTTGCTATAGTTTATAGAACTAGAAAGGTCCCTACTACTAGCGCTATAGTGTGCACGCTATACGTGCCACGCTTACTAGCTAGGGTATTAGCTAGTAGCAAACCTATAATAGTAGAGTACTAATTACTTATTAAGACCTTGCGCTAGTTATAGTAGGGGGACGCCTTTGCATAGCAATAGGTTGCGAGCTTAACACCTAAGGATAGCACTTAAAACTATAGAAAAGCGCACGTTTAGCGCTTAGATAAGAAGAAAGTCCTAAGATATAATAGTAGGATATATATTCTAGAGGAACTAGCTATTAGGCAAGAGATTTTATTCTAGAACTATAACTTATGTATAGTAGGCTACTTTAGCGCACGTAGGACGCTTAAGCTAATTAAGAGGATATACTACTAGCCTACTCTATATTAAGATATTTAGGATTACGTAAGAATATATACTATTTACTAAAGGAGTAAGGCTCTAAGGCATAGCTAATATAGAAAGCTATTACTACTACTAGTCCCTAGAGAAATCTTTAAGGAAGTTATACTAGACTTTATTACTAGCTTACTACTAGTAAAGGACTCTACTAGTTATGTATTTAATATAATCCTTATAATAGTATATTACTTCTTAAAGATAGCACTTTATATACCTGCTTTAAAAATATAGGATATAAAATAGTTTGTAGAGGCTTACTTTATATATATTATTTTAAAGTTTAGGATCTAGAAAGGTATTATATTAGATAGAGGAGCAATTTTTACCTCTTTATTCTAGATAGAAATCTACTACTAACTATAGGTAAAGCGCAGGCTAAGCACTGCCTTCTATCTGTAGATAGATAGGTAAATAGAACGCTAGAACTAGACCCTAGAATAATACTTAAGAATATTTATATTAAGTTCTTAAGAAGACTAGGTAACACTCCTTACTACAGTGTAGTTTACCTATAATAATTTAGTATATAAGTTAACAAAAGTTACCCTATTCTAGGTAGTATATAGCAAGCATCCCTTACTTACTAAGCTATATAAGGTTAGTAGGCTAGAGGGGGAGATGCTAGATATAATTAAAAGAGTAAAGTATATATATAGCGCAAGAGCAATAATAAAAGAATAGCTAGAGAAAGCACGCGAATATTAGAGCTAATACTATAACAAGAAACACAAGGAAGAAACCTTCTACCTAGGAGATCTAGTACTACTTAGTACTAAGTATATTAACTTAGCTAAATAACCTAGCAGGAAGCTATCTAGCAAGTTTATTAGCCTATTTTAGATATAAGGCGTAGTTAGAACGTAGGTATACTACCTACTCCTTCTACCCTCCTATTATATTTATAACGTATTCCACGTTTCCCTACTAGAATATTAGAATCCTAGGATAGGAGAAGAGGACAACACCCTCCTACTAGACGTAACACCTAAAGGAGAAGAAGTTTAGGAGGTAGAGAAGATCCTAGGGAAGTAGAAAAGGAAAGGCTAACTATAATACCTACTCTGCTAGAAAGGCTATAATAAATCCTAGGATACCTAGACTCTACCCTTAGACTTTAAGAATATAGATAATATAATTTAATAATATAAACTTAGTAAATCTCCTTATATAAGGAAAGTAAGAAAGGATTATAAGTAACGTATAGAAAATATAGTAAAGAAGTATATTTTCTTATATAGCCTCTAGCCTAAATATAGCCTTAGGCCTATAGGTATCTATAAATATAAAAATACTAGATATAATTTATAGGAATTGCGCCCTACACGCAACACACCTACTCCTCCCTAGCGCCCTTGCCCTTAACTGCGCCCTCCTCGCCTTTAGCATCCTCCTTATCTCCACTACTATTACTAGCTTTAGCACTAGCACCCTCCTTATTATTATTATTACTAGAGGAGCTATTAGTATTATTACTACTATTAGAAGCCTAAAACTAGTTAGCATACACCCTATATACGCTTAATAAGCGCACTTATAAGTCTAGCCGCGTAGCCTATAATCTATTTAAGGGCAGCTATAATACAACACTACTCTATAAGGATTAAGCTAAGGAATTAGGGCAAAGTAGTAGGGACCTAGGTAGCTACACCTAAAGGTGTGCTAGTATAGGTAGTAATATAGCAGCGGCTTAATAGCTCTAAGTTAAACTAGCGCTAGTAATACGTAAGCTTAACGCCTATAGTAATTATATTAGCGTCTATCCTTAGAGTAGTAGTATTTATAACTATAGTATTATAGTTAGCGTAGAGGACGTATAAATAATTTAATTAACTATTTATTACCTAAGGCACTTATAGAAATTAGCTATAGTGTACCTAAAGTAAACTTTTAGTACTAACCTTAGTACACCTACTATAGTTACTAGTAGTGTAGTGCTTATAGTAATAATACTTAGGTATATTATAATCCTTTTTCTACTTAGCAATATTTTAAGCGTAGTATAGGTAGATTATAGCTAGGGCTACCTAATCTACGCGCTTAGCTAGCGCGTTAAACGCGTAAGGCTAGGTACTATAGAGGTGTAACTTCTTAATATATTTAGGGTTTAGGTAGTAGACTATATTAATAGGTATAGGATATATAGTTAAGATATATTATAGGTGCTTAAAGGTTAAGGTATATAGTAGTAAAGTATTTAGTTATTTATAATATATAGAGCTTAGGCCTTAACTAAGTAATAAGTAAATAGTTAACTTTCTATACTATAGTATAATAACGCGTAAGCACTATACGCCTATAATATATATAACACGCAGAAGGAACGCTTATATAGCGTATCTATAGGTTAAACTATAGATACTCTTTTCCTTCCCTAGAGGGTAAGGTTTTTATTAAGGCTATAGGTTGCTACTAGGGACTATAGCTAGAGGGGGAGATTCTATAATAACCCTATTATAAAGACACCTTGTAGTGTTCTAGTTAATTAGGTGCATCCCTAGCTAGGTTTAGTATCTTAGCGCCTAAGCTATGCAAAACCTGCGCTTTGCGTAGGGCTTAGGAAAGACAAGTATTATTCTTGTGTTAATACTATACTAATAGCCATCTCTACACTATTCTATCTAGTGTGAAGCAAATACTATTGGCCTACAACTAGAACATTACAGAGGTGGTAGTAGAGGTAGTAAAGAAGATTAAAGAAAGGAGGGGTAAAATACTTAAATAGTTAGTAGGAAACTAGTTATTACTAATACTAGTAGCTTAATAGAAGTAGAAATAAAAGTAGTTTACTTTTATAGAATACATGGTATAATAAACCCTATTTAGGTTTACTTCTTCTACCTAAACCACTTCTTAGTCTACTTTAGATAAATATGGCTACTGTAAACCGGTTTTGTACTGTAGTGGTTGCTGTCTTCGGGAATTGTGAGGCGTGTAGGTTAGCTTGTCAAAGTTCTGAGCACCTTCTCCAGATCAAAGGGAACTAATCTAGCTTTATAACTGGTTAGATAATGAGTAGTAAGAGTGACCTACTATTAGCACGATAAGTCTATTTTGCTCTAGCCCCTCTTTAGACTCTTAGATTATACTTGCCTGTAAACACCTATATAAAGCCTGCTACTACCTAGCATGCTTAGCATAACACTGTCCTATGCGGACATGACGCTACAGTACTTTTGTTGTTGGTGCTTGGTATCGTAAGCTGCATCATTCACGCAGAATTTCCAAAACTAACACACTTTCAACGTTGACACAAGGAATTGTACCATAATGTGATATCCATCACACATGCGCACCGAGGCTCACGTTTCTAGTAATATCTCATTTTGCAGACTATGCAAGTGGCTGTACAGCAGTGCCGGCCTCAAGTTGGAAGCAAAGAATTTGTTGAACCTGGAGCCACGAAAGTCTCGAGTTGAGTTTATTCGCGCATCTGTTCAAATAGCCTAAGACTGTGATTGGGCTCCTCCAAAATATCGTGACTAGGTAATTAAATCCCATCTCGATCCTCCGAAACGCAGTTGCTCCTTTCCCGCAAACGGCCAGCACGCAGTTAGCTCAGGAGCATGCATAGCTCTGTTTGCAACCACCACCCCGCATCTAGCAAGCTGATGAAGAATGAAAGTCACAGTCTTCGCATGAAGCAGCTTTCAGAATCAAACCATCCTCAATACCATCGCTCACAGCAATCTACATCTTACGACATGGCCTTTCAGGATGTGGCAGATCAATTAAGTTCCTTGAATCTCTCGACGGACGAGTATCTTCTTTACAACCCGAGTGGAGGAAAATCTTCCTTCTTGAAAAAGTTGGACAACATTCCCCGGTATTTGTTCAGGGTATTCACTCCGAAGTCAGCTGCGACAACCGATGAATCATGGGCCAGGTCTTGGAACGCCAGACATGAAATTCCGGCCAGCAAACTGGATATATTTGCAAACACAAACGACAAAGCAGTAGCGGATATGGTACACAGACATCTAATGTGGCTGAAGGGTGAAGACAACTTTGTATCCTGGACAAGCTCGCTCCTATTCACTCTCGTGTATATATTCCACTTACACGCCAACCGCAACGATGCCTCCAAATTCGATGAGATCAACCTCTGCATAATCGACACCACACGCTTTCCCAGAGCCGTCTTTATCCGGGATCTCGACCTCATCGACGCCTACCGCGCATTCGACGACAAGCTAGCCCAGACGCAGCTCCTACGAAGGCGAACGTGGGGCGGGCGGTTGTATTTTGGAGAATACCTGTCTCAAGGCGAACTCAAGATTAAAGGCAAATGTGCAATCATCTCTGCAGCTGCGATGATTCAACGCGGTCTATATTATTTACACCCAAGCTTTAGGGAGTTTGCGCAGTGGCCGAAGGAATATAGACCACCGTGGGTTCTTCCAGTGCTTGATCTTCGCGAAAACATTGATCGGAATACTACCGATATATGTACCCCAGTTCTTCTCAGAGGATTCACTGCGATTATACAGCTTTTGGAAGCACCGTGGCGTTTACCCACGGCGATCCATCTCATCGCCTCGCTTTCCCACTCGACAGAAGATGTCTCCATCCTAGGATTCTTCAAAGGAGATTCCTTCACAGGTCTTACTCCCCACTGTCCCAATCACCATACCAACCCCTAACAACCGCGCAGATACCGCCAGAATAGCCTGCAGCCCCTTCACCACAAAAACCATACCCCGTGATTTCATGCCAGAAATACAGCAAGCACAGCAGCTAACGGAAAACATCTTCAGGGAATTTTGCCTCTTGCAAATGACAGGTCAGTCCAACATGTCAAGTAGTTTCTATCCAAAAGAAGGTTCGCTGATATGAAGTGAACTGACAGCGTGCGTTGAAAAAGCTGGAATGGAGCTACGCTCTTGCAGACGATGGCGTTTGGAAATGAGTAGTGAAGCGAATATGGCGCTGCATCGGACTTTGGGTCCTAGCTGGGACGCCTTTTCTGGTCGATTGAACACAGTCAAATACCTCAGCGAAGGTATAGCTAGCCTAGACACAGATGGATAGGCATGAGGCGCGGATATAGTAGATTGAACAATTGAACGATATACAACCATGTCAAATTTCAGGCTAGTGATTATGTCGCCGAGATAATTTCGAGTGGTCTTGATACATGGGCTAGGGTAAACATAAACTTCCCCCAACATACTTTACCGTACATACCTAGCTCCGTGTGCCAGGGGAATAGTCTGTATCTGTGTGTTGATGTGATGTCATTGTATCTTGTTCTATTCTATTTTGTTCTGTCTGTTCTTGTGACATCTTCATCTCATCCATCCCATCCCATCCCACCTCTCTAACACCGTATACACCCCACACACTCCAATACGCTGACTACGCCTCTACCTCCGCCTCCGACTCCCCACATCGTGTATAAGAGAAAAATTCGAACAGGTATTGAATTTTCATTTGTCCAAAAAAAAAGGCACAAAGGGGTGTCGTTCGTTCGCCCCATCGCCTTGCTCGCCTCGCCTCTGTGTGACAAAAGAAAATAGACATCAATGGCAAACAGGCAAAAAAGACAAATGACAAAAGAAAAAAAGGTATCTCTCATCTCTCATCCCACGCTCCCTTTTCCTCCCTCCCTCAAGCTTCAGACGGCGCATTCTTCTTTTCCTCCACCCCTCCCCTCATGCTTCGGAAAACCTTTTCTCCTTGTCGCCCTCAGCACCTACTCTCCCCTCACCCTCCGACTCGGCCCAAGTCGGCGTCCTGCCAATCCTAGCTAGCCAATTCTCCGCACTCTGCACCGTTCCATCCACCACCGTCGTAATCTGCCCCATCATATCCAGCCCCTCCTTTGCAAACGCCAACATGCGATTCGCTCCCCTCACCTCCTCGCCTCGCTCTGCGTCTGAGAACGCGGTTCGGCCGGCAAGCTTCCAGCGCTGCGGCACAGACATGAGTTGCGTTCGGACGACGCGGGATGCGTTTTCGGGCAGAGCACCGCCCGTGTAGCGCGAGACCGAGGACACGACGGACTGCAGCGTTTTCCAGATGTCGGAGCTGAGGGCCTTGATGCGGTCAGCGATCTTGCGGACTTGGTCGTCTTTTTGCGAGTCTGCGAGGCCGAGGCCGGCCATGCTGCCGCTCAATTGGGCCTTTTCGTCCTGTGCGTTTGCGTCGGCCGAGGTACGTTGGTTGCGCAGTGCGGCTTCGTATTCTTCGAGGAGGAGTTTGAGGGCACGCATGACTGAGTCAATGTGTGTTGTCGCACTGCGGAGTAGTGATAGGCACAGTCTTAGTGAGCGTAGAGAGGCCTCGGAGAGTGCCACGCCGAGACCAGAGGTCGTCATGATTAGTTGGGTGGACCAGGTTACGCGGCGATCTTGTGGTGTGTTGTTGGATTGCTCTGGTGCTTTGCTCAATGGGGATACTGTGGCTTCTTCGTAGTTGGGGGAGCGCTGGTCGTCGTATGCGGGGAGGGAGTCGGTGCAAGAGGATTGGGAGCCGCCTCTTGTGCGCGAGGCAGCGGCGAGAGCATCGTCGACATCCATGGCGTCGGTGGTTGGGTTGGCAACTCGTTGGCGCTTGCTTGGTGCTCCCTCTTCATCGCCTTGTTCGAGATCACTGGGGCGTCGATGGCCTTCGCCTAGATAGCGGCGCAGGTTCTTCTCCATGCCCGTCCTTCGGCCGACCGAGGAGACGGTGTTGACCATGGGTGAGCCGATGTTGCGCTCGAGCAGCTCGGCGCCATACTGGACGAAGCGCGGGGTGTAACCCTTGGTCGTGTTGTAGGCAGATATAGAGCCGTTGATGCCGTGACCCAGCCATGGGTGGTTCGATGTGATAAGTGAGAGCAGTGGTTCGGGCTCGGCGGTGGCTGGATCGCGTGCAGAGAGTGCTATTGATTGCGCGGTTGGTGAGCGGACAAAGTCTAGCCAATCATGGTCAGCCCGCAACTCTCCCCTCGCCTATGACGGATGCCTCTTGCAGCCGTTCTCTGTTCTTACCTGGATTCCCCAAGCCACTCAGCGCCTCTGCTGCCAATCGCACATCCGGATCGTCCATGCTCACACTTGTCTCTCTCCGTGAACCGTCCTCGTGGGTGTATGTGCTGCGTACGCTCGCCGTGTCCATGGGGCTGCCCATGTCCTCTGGGCCACTTCTCGACGCCGCCTCTTGCAGTCGAGGGAGGGTGGCATTATTCAGCGAGGGTAACATGCCCCATTGCGAGCCTTCATGCCGCGAATGTGGACTGAGCTCAATCGAGTTGTGCGGGGAATGGCGCGCCTGGGTGGTGGTGGTGGTGGTGGTGGTGGTTTCTGGCAGATGCAGTGACTTTATGCCCGGGAGGCGTCCATTGCTGTCGACTTGGTGCGGCAAATGCGTGGGTACAGAGGGCAAATGGAACGAGTCTGGTTCGTGTTGGGCATAGGCGGGGGGCGGGGGGCGTTGCTGCTGTTGCTCTGGCTGCTGTTGCTGTTCCATCGTCTATCGTATGTCTTGGTTGCCCTTTTGTGCCTGTTGAGGTGGATTGACGTCGAGGAGCGAACAAAGACTACCGGTACCCCACGTCTTGTGTCGACGCGCGAACAGACAGATGGCCAGCCAGTGTCGTGGCAGAGAGGCTTGCAGAATCCAATCCTCGTCGTCCTTTTTTGTTGGCTGGGATGGGCGTTCGATGATGATAGATCGGCCGTATCTGCTCAAACAGGAAGCGATACTCCGAGAGCCCTGCGCGCAAACGCAGGTGAACAAATAAGATGCGACAACGGACACCCTCGCGACCTCTCTGTTCCGCTGCTAATCCCACGCGAGAACGAACAACAAAAAAAGAGTGAGTGGTGTTTGGGAGTGAATTGGTAGAGAAATCGGCAAAGGATGGAGAAGAATGGGAGCTGAATTAAGTTGGGTAAGTCTGGCGCTGGTGGGGAGGCAAAACGGCGGTAGAGAGAGAGTAAGTGTAAGAGTAGCACGGGTGGATTGGAGGGTGGGAGGCAACAAATTGGGGAGAGGGAGGGGGGTTCCGCTCACAAACCAAGTCCGCCATTCTCACATGTCAAACTCTGTCACATGCTTGGACGTGCGCTGATCCCCTCTCCACTCCCCCCTTGCCCCGTTTCCAAGCACAGCGCCACATTTCCATCTTTCTTTCTCTCTCTCTCTCTCTCTCTCTCTCTCTCTCTCTCTCTCTCTCTTATACTCTCGCTTGGCCTCGTCGACATACTCCACGACGATCAAATATCCTTCCTGAGCCTACGGCGACGATACATACCGGTATGCCTGGACAGCATCCTCTGTCGTGTCTACACGTGTTGGTGCTGCCGTCATTGGATAGTCGCCCATTTCTTCATGCATGCAGAGCAGGAAAGATGCGAGGCGGTCGGCTACGTCCTTGACCTGCACAGCAAGAACCAAGTCCAGCGGCTCCTGTCACCCGAACATTGCCTCGACCAGTCAAATTCTCCTCATCTGGCTGACGCAAGCAGCAAGCGAGCTGAAGCGTGGCAAACGGCGTTGGCGTCTCCCACCCTATCCAGGCCCCACATACGCTAAGCACTCCCGAACCACACTCGTTCATACTCTCTCTACTACTACTACTTTTGTACTCACTTCATCCACTTACGCATATACACATGTATATGACCATCTCAACCTAACCTCGCATGTCAAGACAAGACTGTCGCCGTCCCTATATTTCGATGAGTATCGCGCATAAAACCCACCATACCCTAGTGCAAGGATGAATCATTCAAATGTTGCAAGTCCTAGACGCCAAGGTAACCAAGTACATTAGACACATGCACAGGAAAGAATGACCATGGCAGCAGAGCACCTGAAACCCTTACAGGAGTGCACATGAATATGGAACCAAAAAGCAATACCTGTCCTTCTCATGCGCCATTGAGGGATTTTGAAGACGTCCCTCTACAGAATGACACTGAAGTCAAGACAAGAGTATTCCCTCCATCTTCCACTATGATTATACAACCGCCTGCAATCTCTGCTGCACTCTCCACATCACCTCCTTCACGAAACTTACATGCGCGCGATTCTTTTCAGAAAAGCGTGAACAGGTAGTGCAAGCAGACAAAGCACATACCCACACGTGCCTATTGGGACTGCATCAAACCCTTTTTACCCACAAGCCCAATCTCAACATCTCAACTCAACCACTACCAACATGCCCATCCATCATCCCCTATCCCACCAACACCCATCCCACGCATCCTCTTCACATCCCACCTACCCTCACACACACCGCACACCACACACCCCCGTGTCAGCAATCCAAAACACAGTCTAGCCGCTGCTTAGCCATGCTCATACCACATCTACTAAGCCAACGCCGCCACCTTTCACAGCCATACATCGCATACCAGAACCCTAAACCACACTTCCAAGTTCCCACCCCAAATCAAACCACGCCCTCAACAATCCCTCTGCCCCAACAACACCAACTCCAACCCATCGCTGCGGTCACGCTTGGTGCCGGGCCGTGTGCGCATAGACCGGGTATGTGCGATATCCTGGGATTTGGTTTCCCATTGCGGGGGGGCTACTGTAGTGTATGATCCAATACATGCGCTTTCAACACATCATTCACAATACATCGCATCGTGCCATTCCAGTGTTGCGGAATCGTTGGGGCTGGGTTGGTGCATGCGATGCATGTAGGATATCCCCAGCGATCTTTACTTTTTCAGGGGGGCGAATGAGAGTGATGGCTGCGGGGTTAGTGTACCGATGGTGGTATGGTTGGGACTGATATCATCGATTGGTATGCATGCATGTGTACATCCAATTCTTCCCAACTCCTGCAAAGTCCTTCCAACGGCGCTGGATTACCGAGTGTGTGGATCTGTCGGTGTTGGGCTAGGTACCGGGTATGTGCATACAGTACTACGACGGTTGGTATTTTGGGAACAGGTTGCGAACTCAGCTGCCTGTTTTGGCGCTAGCGTGTCCTGTGGTCAGCGCTGGGAATCCTTTCGCCTGGCTGTGTGAGAAGGGCGTGAGGGAAAGGGGAGTCCAGCTGGATAGAATTGTTGGGGATTTTTTGGGGGGTTTGTACGAGAGGAGAGGTTGGTGGCGTGTGTGTTTATGTGTGTTGGGTGTGGGTATGTGGCGGGGTTTAGTTGTAGATGTGGTAGGCTTGTGGTATATTTCCTCTTTCTGTACATGTACCGGTATACGGGGGATGTGGGATGTGGGATGTGCAGGTGGACGGCTATGTGCTGTGTCACCGACTCTCACGATTTTGCAGTTTTTGTTCCTTTTTTGGTTTGTTGACGGAGTTGTAAGAGAAGGCCAAAAGCCATGGATAGGAATAAGTATATATTTCCGCCCTCTCACTCCATTCCTCCTCACAATCACACCCTATTCTTCTCTCATAAACACTACCATCTCCCAATTCTCCAGCACCATCCCATCCCTCCCTCCTCACCGAAAAAACCCTAAATCAGATCCAAATCCAACCCCAACTCCCAACAATGCACCTCCCCACCCCTTCCCTCCTCCTCGCCCTCGCCCTCACCAGCACAAACACCATCCAAGCCGCTCCAGCTCCACCCCACGCCAATCTCGCCCTCTCACCCCGCCAAATAATCCCCTTCAACATCGCCCTCATGAGCGACAACTTCTGCCAAACGCGCTTCAGCACCTCCTTTCCCACGACAAGCAGCGGGTGCCAGGTTCTAGCGCAGCCCGCGGTCGGGGCATTTGCTACTAGTGTGTTGCCAGAGGGGTGTGAGGGTATGTTGTTTTATTATTCCTGTTTCCTTGACATCTTATTATACCGGAGTATCACGCCTTTATCCATTCACGAACCTTGGTGTCCCAAATATCCCTGATCCCAAGTGCAGAACTCGTACACACCCAGGCTAACTCCATCTCCGCGCCACAGTCCTCGTCTACCCGAACCCGACGTGCACGGGTACAAACGTCATTACCGTTCCACGCGATTCGTCGTGTTTTAGCTTTGGCAATAAATTGAAGATTACGGCGCTTAGGGTCAGTGGGACGTGTCCTGGGTTTCAGTCCTAGATGGAAAAAGCTGGGTTGGGAGATTGGGGGAGGGAGAAGAGAGAGGAGGGCATGATAGGAGTAGATTGTTGTTTTGGGAAGATATGGATGGGAGGTGTGGGAGTGATGATGTTGATATTGGTGGTATGACTATGTTGTAGTGCATGAGTGAATGAAAACATTTCTATGGGAGGACGACATTGGTACTATTTCATAATGTAGCTTATATGATTGTATATTTGCTTGCGACAGCTGTTTGATTAGTGCCAATCTGTTCATCTAGATCGTACTGTGCTCTAGTATCACACAGATAATTGATGGTATAACCACAAATGTAGTTCTCAGCACCCACGAACAGCAAGCCTTTCAGCAGAGCAAATGTGTACGCAGCGCTACCTATATACTGAATTACATTCTATCCATGTGTGAAATAAACGCTGTTATCTCTGGATACCAAGTAATCGCATGATTTCGGCAGTCTGATTGATGTAAAGTCAAGTTTAAATCTGTTAAATAGAGTTTCTGTGGTTTCTATGTGTTCTCCTTCCCCCAAGAGCCGTTGCGTGTTTGTATCATGGTATTTTTGTGATTTAGCACAATGTAAGACTAATTCCTCGCTCAGCTTCCTTGTTGATCACTTTATAAGCATCTTGAGTACAAATTATGCGTACCATGCGCGGAATTTCAATCATCGCTGTGATTTTCCAATTCATTCTGCCGTGTCGTGAATACCTCGGTCACGTGTGACTCTTGAGTGGGCTTAGCCTCTTGGCGGTACTTGCCCATAGATAGCTCCCATCCTACTAGACTAGGACAATATGATCACATTACACACTGCATTTGGGCCCTCCTCATCGTCGGATACTGCACATTCCATCTTCCTTAAACGCCCATTGCCAACACTGCCGTATTCCACGGCAATTGACGGACACATGGAAGATGCCTAACAAACTATAGGACGGGAAATTCGAACGGAAGAAGTTTCAGTCAAACAGTACCGGTACATCTAGGCTAAAGTCTTCTGCGTCATCTTGCTGCAGCGTGTCTCGTATCTAGCGAGTAAGTTTGGCACGGGTGCTGACGGCATTGCAGGATCTCTTAGCGGCCCTGACAGCTACCACAATATACTATTCCAATCACATATACCCCATATTTACGTATTGTACGTAGCATGGATGGATTTTAGTTGTTTATCGCAGTCGGAGTCGGACTGTGTGACCTCGCATGGTACCTTGTCATGACAACCAATCATATACACCAAAGATCATGCATAGCACCATACAACAGGTACTACACTTACCTATATCTATAGATCTGAAAACACTAAGAAAAAGAATTCCTCATGCGTGGACCCCTTGAATCAGTATAGTGGCGAATCTTCTAGTGTGCAAATACTTAGTGCTTATGCCCGCCACTCGCACATGGGTAGTGACGCCGGCCCGTGAACCTTCTCACTGCCACTTTCAGCAGCAGTAAATCTGTACTGCATAGTCATAGATTCGTAATCGCAGGTCAGTGTCTATTACAAAAAGTCCTTGACTTGGGAGAACAGCATCTAGATCCAATGCATCGTGCGCGGGGCTCTAGCCGGATGGCAAAGGATCTCGAAGCTAACTACGCAAGCAGCACACAATATGTATGTCTATTATAACATGTAGCGTGCTTGAGGCTCACTTGAGTGTGCTTTCGAGACTCGAGAGCTATGCGTGGCGGAAAGCTATATCCGAGGCAGATTTTGTTTACGAGAATCTGAAGGATGAATTGAACAAGATGCACGAAAGTTCAAGCGAGCACTCGAAGCAAAAGCCGTTCTCGAATATTAGAACGTTTGCGAAGTCAAAATGAAGGGCGGTAGTTTGCGAGGCTGTGATTTAATTCCTCGGGCTCTCGGCATAAGGTACCAGGACTACTATCTAACGATATTGCGGATAAACGACCTGTAATCTGTTCTGTCGATAGGACGATTGTAGTTTGAGGAGAAGGGAAGCTCAGAAGTGCACTCACCTACAAGGCAAATGATACGGGTAGTTAGAATGTGAGAATGCACATGAACTTGATAAATAGGAACACACAAGAGTGCCATAATAAATAACACGCAGTGATTCGTAGAGGATACCCAGCGGCATTCTACCTACCTCAGAAGCCACCGACCAAGTGCTCAATGCGATAATCAGGATATTTTTGTCCCTGCTTTTCAGCATCACTCTGAGCCACCTGATGCGTACTATTGCAGCAGCACGTCCGGGCAGCCTATCTAGAGCAATCTCCAATACCAATTCTACTCGGCGCCTGTTGGCGACATTCCCTGCTTCCTTGCCGACCTCGCTGCCATCGATCGCGTCATTGGTAAGGATGTATGTTCTAAGATGACGGAAGCGTGATTCATGAGACGTCCTCCAAGGCGAGAAGCTCCTCAGCGTGCCGGCCAAGGTTGGATTAAAGGCCGATGGTCCCGATCGTGAAGAGGTCATGGTGGCCAGGATTATGTAGCTCAATGCTCCGCCGATTCCGGCGGAGATAGATCGGGTAGTTCATGTCGTGAGAACGGCATCTCGGCGTGTGACGAACGGCAAGTTGTACGGTGGCCGGACATTTACCGGTACCCCGGTATCGGTAAGGTTTGGGCGCTTCCAAAATCGTTGTTGCAGAACACCACCTAGGTATCACCATCGTATAGTGCAAGGCCTTACCTTGACGATTTGTTTGTCTCATTTCCAGGAGAAGAGGCTGGCTGGGTATGAGCAAATGGGCTGACTTTCGGTTTCTGAATGACGCCACTTGACTATGGGGTTATCCGTACCGCCAGGTTGACCTTGTAATAACATTCACAGTAGGTGTCGCGAGTCTGGCATTCTTCGCCAAGCCTTAGGTAGAGCATAGTGTGAAAAGTCCAGACCTCCAAGTAGGTATGGCAAAACGATCTACATCACTTCCATGTCCGCGCAAACAACGTAAGACGTAGTATCTGATTTCAGTACTAACAGCAATTCACGTGAGCGTTTACCTTTTTAGGCGTGATTGGGCTGTTCCGTTTAGGACCAACCTTGGTGCCGCAAACCATGTTCCTGAAATAGTTAAGCTATGATCCGTGCACCGTGATGACGCATGCATGCTGTGCAGCATGAGTCCTGGGTATGTACCGGTCGGATGGAAGGCCAGTACCTATTCGAGCAAACATACTTTCGGGGATTTTTGACACGTTTTAGTGTACGTTGCCAAGTCTGTCAGCATAGGGTAGCTGCTGCATGCCAATTACCGAACACCAAGCTTCTTCTACTCTAGCAAAGTAGAAGAAAATTCCACGCAGGGGAAATGGTGACATGACATCGCTAGTGCATTAGGCTATGATGATGTGCGTCTCTGCAATCTCCGTCTCGTTCGCTCATAGCTCCTCATTACTGAAAGAAGAACGATAGCCGATGCCTACTAATGAGTACTGTCGAAGCTGAGCCTGACTAATATATGGAAATGTGACAATATCGGTAACAAATATTTGACGAGTAGTGTACAATGAACAGAACTCCTGTCGATTCAGGGTACCAATGGACTTGCAGAGGAGCTGCTGGTAGGAGAAGGGGACACTACAAAGACATAGGCTGGGACCACACACCGGTATCCCATGGAAAAGTTCGTGGTCACAGTTCCAAAATTATTTACCATCGTACCATAAGATTACGATTCTAGAGAGTATTTGCGTACGATAAAGAGGACCTTGCATTGTTTACGAGCGCGGAAGCTTCCAGGAAACCACTCGCGTATCTTTCTTAATAATTTGGAAAAGGAAGATCAAGGATAGAGCGAAGGACTAATAGCTCTTGGCGTGGGCTCGTATCGTACCATACGTACTCCAAGAATCTGACTGATGCTGTAACGTCTTCAAGCGCGATTCAGTCTGCGTCAGATATTATCCGAAGACTTCCCCGAGACTCTCCCTCCAATGCTCAGATGCTCATCGTGGCAAAGTGAGCGTCGGAGGCTGAATTTGGTACCGAGAAACCTTACGGTACCGGTATCTTGCCTTCGGCCTTCCATCTGATCCACACTTCCAGAACGCAGGGACGACCGCTTACGGTCGGAGTTTTTCATCTAGCGGATAACACACTCTGCATACTTAGCTAAAACGATTACAGATGGGGTGATCGCTTATGCATAACCCCTTCTCGTTTGACCCGAACCCCTGGCGAGCTGGAAGAATGGGTCGGGGGTTAAACTTTATTTCAACTTTGAACTTTATCTGACATACGAATAGTGTAGACACGGTGGCAGTGCGGAGGCATACGATGGGGAAGATTCTCAGGTCGCAGGTACCGGTAACAGGGATGAATGAACCGACTTCACAACATATGTCTTGGAACACGCTATTCTACAGCCATCCGGAGTCTTGAAAAACTCTGAGGAGTAAGGGCATGAGAGGACGCAGAGATCGTCTATGTCCTTGTCGAAGGTCAACAAGGATGCGATCCGACGTGCCAAGGTCCTCCATCAACCTCTGTGAGAGTAGAGCAACGAGTTGTGACATTTTTCGTGGGTGTGCCAGCAGGAAAAGCATACTTCTGCACTGTCTAGGTATCCGTACTTCAAATAACAAGGATTACTATAGTCTCGCTAGAATCACACTCTTGAAATCAAGTATAGGCATTCCATGATCACAATCAACAGCAGTTATCCTGTCGTCGATGACAGTGATCGAAGGCATAATGAAACGATTATCAGTCCATAATCCGGACCTGTAGCAAAACCTGGTATCCGAGTCGTGTGACGTACTAGTCTATGTTGCACAGCAAACTGGTTCACCAAGTCTGACCAAGGGAGCCATCTAACTGGCCATGAAACACAGCGTCAAGGGAGCTATTTCCGCACCAAGTCTTGGCCTCCATAATCAAGCAATCTATACGGGAAGACACTAAGACGTGAGTACGGTCCACTTTGCCGACTGAGCATCTCGGCATTCTCTCGTAATGATCTCTCTTACCAGCGGTCGGCCTTGACAAAGGTCGGATGTAGTCACCTCACCTGCAGGGCATCCGCGACAGCTGACGCATCCCCATGGTGCTGGTTCCAATCACAAACTACAGCTACTCCTCTTCACTGACTCAGTGATTCTACGAGGAATTGGCATAGTTTCAATGCACTTGACAATAGATGTCTATAAAGACCAAAGACATCTCTCTCGTTTGTCCCATCATTACAATCATCACATCACAACATCTTCACTACCACAGTCACCACTTCAACTCATCTTCACTACTTTCACTCAAAGTTCCAATCTTCTCCAATACACTCTATCAACATGAAGTTCCAGGCCATCCTTCTTGCTGCTGCCACTTCAAGTGCCGTCATGGCCCATGGCTACCTCAAAGACCCACCCCATGGCGAAGTGGTTCCTCGTCAGGACACTGTCATTCCTCCTCCTGGTTTCGACACTCGCCAGGTCCGCCCTGACATCGATGTCGGTGGTTCTCAGTCTCCTCGTGGACCAGGCAGCCGTCGCCAGGTCCGCCCTGACATCGATGTCGGTGGTTCTCAGTCTCCTCGTGGACCAGGCAGCCGTCGCCAGGTCCGCCCTGACATCGATGTCGGTGGTTCTCAGTCTCCTCGTGGACCAGGCAGCCGTCGCCAGGTCCGCCCTGACATCGATGTCGGTGGTTCTCAGTCTCCTCGTGGACCAGGCAGCCGTCGCCAGATCCGCCCCAACATCGATGTTGGTGGTTCTCAGTCTCCTCGTGGACCAGGCAGCCGTCGCCAGGAAATGGAGAACTAAACGGCTGCATTGATCTTGAGCAATGTAGCGCTTCTCACCTGTGTTTGTACACACTGCGAAGTGGTAAGACTCATCCCCAATTAAGGGCTCTCTATGCAAGAACTAAATAACTTCTTATTAGACCCGTCAACTTTAGTCTTGGCTTCTTTCTCCCAACCTACCTTTTCCACTTTCAGAAATCATGTAAAACGATCAACAGGGGCGCTGGGTGGACTTTTAGCATGATTTCGTTTGCTTGTACGCACTAAAAAGATAGCTTTTGTGGTTGCTTCCTAGGACCGTTGGCTTTGTGAAGCGGTTTAGCTGTTCATATCAAAATGCAATTCATTCTATCACCAAAATGTGTGCCTTCCTCTGCTAAAACCGTGTCTGCTTGTTGTTCTAGGACTCGTGAAGGTTGATACTGGTACTGGAGTATAAGTGCAGCCAATGAGCAACGGTACTGCAGCGATTGAGATTAAGGAATTAGACTTAATTTGTATTAGGTGCAATCTAATCATACTTGCACGTATTGCTGCATTATGAATGCTTCAATCACGTGTAACTCTTGAATGGGCTTAGCCTCTTGGCGGTACTTGCCTATAGATAGTTCCCATCCTCCTAGATTAGGACAATACGATCACGTTACACTCTACTTTTAATCCTTCATCCTATTGGATACTGCACGTATACCAATTACATATTATGGAAATTTAGATCACTAAGGTTAGGAATAATTTAGGAGATAGATTATTAGATTATATCTACTATAATTAGACTTATATATATAGAGCTTTAGCTACCCTTACTAGAAGGTGTATAATTAGTAAACCTTCCTTACTAGAGCTCCTGCTTTTATTAGGCACTTTGTAGTGAGCTGGCAGTCGATCAGATAGTGGGTTATACAGGGGTATTGATTGGGATTAATCGGGATTGATCGGGATCAAGATGCTCCGTAATCTAGTTAATATCCCTCCTGCAACACTAAGATATTATATTATAAGAAGAACATCTTCCTAGCTAGTAATAGCATTTAAGAATATCGCATTTGTTATTATTTTAAGCTGATAATTTAGTTCTAGTAGTTACCTAACCCTATAACTTTATAGTTAGAATAGCTATTAGAACTTCTAATAACTAAAGCCTATAGGCTTAGACTTCTAGACCTATAGGTGGTGCTAGATTACCTTTAGAAAAATCGCGTTAGATTATAGTAAGGTAGAGACTTAGAGACTACTAAAAGCCTAGAAAATTTAGAGGTAAAGCTAATATCCTTTTAAAACTAACCCCTAAAGAAAAGATTTGTTATTCTTATTAACTACAAAATATTAGATAAAGGCAAAGGAAGGGCATCTAGTTTAGCTGTGTTTAAAAGCCTATTTACTAATAGAAAGAAATTAGATAAGGAAGACTTAATTAACAACGCCCTCCTTAAAGGACCCGCTTCCTATCCATCTCTTAAGGTACCTTATGCTCCTAGGAAATCTTAAAGCAACACCTCCCTTAAAGATAAATATATGTTAACCCTATCTAAAAAGGAGAGGTTAGAGGAACAAGTTAAGCAACTTACTAATTAGTTATATAACACCTCCCTCTATAAGGAGATATAGGGTACTACCTAACCTAGCTAGTCTTTAGCTTCTATATTAAACCCTATAGTATATACTATAAAAGCTAAGAGATAATCTAAAAAGACGCTAAATATCTCCACACTTAGTAATAGTGCTAATCCTACTTTTAGATAATAGCAAGCATCTATTTAGGATAGGCTAGAGATTAACGCTAATTACTACCCCTCTTCTAGAGCTTAGATAGCGTTAGTCTAGGGACACTACTTAGGACTAGCAAGAGAATACTTAGAGCCACGTTACCTATCTAATTCCCTAAGTCTTTAATTCTAAAAAGCTAAGGAAATAATTACCCTCCTTTAAACTTACTTTATTACTAGAAATAAGATAGCTAAGAGTTAGACTATATTTAACTGCCTATACATAACTAATATAGAGACGTTCCCTACTTTTAAGTTATAATTCTAGAGTCTTACTATTAGAGGAGAAGTACCCTAATTAGAGTAGTATTACTACCTCTAGATAAAGATTACACCTTCCCTAAGGATACTAAATCTTGCTTTCTAACAGAATTAGCATAATAATTTTAAGACTATAGTAGATTATCTTACTACTTTTAACATAGAACGCTGCCTATACCCTACCTTATCTACTCCTACCTAGACTACTCTATTATCTAGAAAAGGACTAACCCCCTTCTAACACTCTAGAAACTAGTCCTATTTAGACGCTAATTAGAAACCCTATAATAGACCTTTAATGGCTAAACCTTATATGCCCTACTTATAATAATAAGGCACTACCCCTTAAAATAATTAACCCCTATCTGCTACGCTAGCTACTCCTAGTGCTACTATAATAGGAACCCTAGTAACTTGCTATAATTATAGAAAGCCTAGGCACTTCTCTAGTAACTACCCTAAACCCCCTAGGATTTAGGCTATAGATGTGGAATAGGTTGTCGAGAATTCTAAGGAAGAAGAAGCCGCTAAATTAACTAATTTAGATAGCTATTAGACAGGAAACAATAATGCCTAGGAGGATCCTCCTTCCTAGGCCTAACTTAATATAACCTATTAAACCTTTCCTTAACTAAATTATTTGTTAGTTCCTATTTACTTGCACGTATAACCCTATGCCTTAATAGATCTAGTATTTGCCTAAACGCTTTAGTAGATACTAGGGCCTAAGGTTACTTATTTCTTAATTTAAAAATTACTTACAATATCTCTTCCACGCTTAGGGTACCTATCTAAAAGTTACTATATAAGCTTACTATTAAAGGGTTCTAGGACTAGATTACCTCCCTAGTTACCTACTATATTTAGCTTTATATAATAGTTAGTAGCTAAAAGGTTTACAACTGCCCCTTTATAATAGTAGACTTAGGTTCTTAGGATTATATTATTAGATAACACTAGCTAAAATAGTTCTAAATCCTAATTAATACAGATAAATCTTAACTAATCTAGCTAGAGAAATATCCTCTAACCTATAACCCCGCACCTCCTATTCTAGTACAACTCTACTAGCAAGTGCTATCTACTCTAGTTACCTACAATATCTTGCAAAGAGACGCCCTTTAGGATTAAGAGGAGAACTAGAACTAAAATAGTCCTAGTTTAATTAATAAGATACGTAGTATACTTAAAATTCTAGCTACTTATAGGGCTGCTACTAAACCTATTATGCTACCTACCCTAGTCTAATTGCTAACTATTACCCTACCTACAAAATTCTAAATTGCTACTATTTCTGCTAATACTTTCTATTTTAATATAAAAAAATTTTCTAATAAATTCTTCACTACTAGCTTATATAAGATTAAGCGTAGGATCTAAACCCTATCTAAATAGGATACTCTTAACTACTACTTATTAGATTAGAAGCTCCTATCTAACTATAACTCCTATTAGGACGTCTTTAATAAGGCTAAGGCTAACAAACTTCTAATCTACTAGCCTTATAACCACAAGATAGTCTTAGAGGAACCCCTTCTAAACTACTAGAGTCCCCTCTATTATTAAAATACTAAGGAACTCTAGGCTACTAAGGAATATATACAAGAGCACCTATAGAAAGGTTTTATTAAGACTAGTTAAAGCCTATTTGCCTCTCCTATCCTATGCGTTAAGAAGCTAAATAGAGGCCTTAGGATCTGTGTGGATTACTATAAGCTTAATAGCTTAACGTAAAAGGACGCGTATCTAATACCTTATATAGACAATCTATTATCCTAGCTAGCTAAAGTAAAAATCTTTACTAAGCTAGATATTTATGCTACCTTTAATAAAATCTAAATAGACCCTAAATTAGAGGAGTATACTACTTTCCGCACTAGGTATAGTGCCTATAAATGCAAAGTCCTACTATTTAGGCTATATAACAGACCTGCAACCTATTAGTGCTATATAAATAATATACTAATAGATTATTTAGACAACTTCTACATTGCCTATCTAGATAATATCCTTATCTACTCTAAAAACCTTACTACTTATAAGGACTATGTTTAAAAAGTCCTTAATTATCTTTATTCTACTAGATTATAGGCTAATATTAAGAAAAGCAAATTCTATATAACCTGTACCTGTTACCTTAGATATATCCTTACTAACAAAGGCTTAGAGGTAGATCCTAATAAAGTTAAAGTACTCTAAAACTAGTCTGCTCCTAAGATAATAACTAGAGTAAAGTCCTTCCTAGGATTTACTAGATTCTACTAGCAATTTGTGGAAAACTTCTCTAAGATAGCTAAGCCCTTAACTACTCTTTAGAGCCCTACTACCCTATTTGTATAGACTTTAGAATGCTAACAAGCCTTTAACTAGCTTAGGAATGCCCTTCTAGCAATCCTAAGCTTAGCTTACTTCTATCCTAAGTACCCTCTAAAACTAGAGACAGACGCCTCTAATAGAGTTATTGCAGCTATCCTCTTATAGGAGCATCCTAATAGGAAATAGTACCCTATATCCTTCTTTAGTTAGACCCTTACTAGTTCTAAACTTAACTAGGAAATCTATAACAAAGAATTATTTGTAATAATCTGCGCCTTTAAGAAATAGCGTGCTAACCTAATAAGTACTTAGCACCTTATTAGAGTATACACAGACTATAGAGCACTAGAGTACTTTATATCTACTAAAGTCTTTAGTGCTAGGCAAGCTAGATAGCTAGAGGTTATAAGTCCCTTTAACTTCTAAATTAAGTATACTCCTAGATCTTACAACGCCTAAGCTAATATCCTAAGCAGAAGGGAATAGGATATAATTAACCTTAAGACTACTTAAAGGAATAATTGCTTATAAGTAATAATTGCCCTAGATAGATTACACCCCTAAATTAACTCTAACTTAGCGTAAGACTACCTAGCTAAGCGTTCCTTACTAATCCTTGCTTTAATTATAGTAGTTTAGAACCTTATAACTCTTAGATCCCTAGAACTTATTAAAA